TCTTCAGCTCTTACTATGAGCAAGGTAGTATAATTTGAGGAAGGGGAGACAGACACAATTTGATAAGGAACATTAGAGAAACACACAAATGACTATAATACAAGTTGAACAAGCATAATAAGAACGAGCACGATACACGCTCCGAGGGTTTAGTGCAGAGGAGACGGCGTCTGCTCTGCTGGCTTGGGGGAGGATGGGGGAGACTGTGTCAGGATCTCCCCTTCTCCAGGCCAGTGCCCGCTATTTTGGCTGCGGCCCCATCACCCCTTATCTGGACTGTAATTGCTGCTTCCAGGTAATCTTTCTAAAGGCAATCTGATTATGTCACTCTCAGCTTTAAGGCCGTCTCTGTTCCCATCGTCTGCAAGAAAGAGTTAAAGTTTCTTGGATCCTGCACGCAAAATCTAGATGTCTGCCCCCTCCGCAGCCTCAACATCCCTCATCTCCCTGCCACCCACAGAGCCATCCACATGCCATACTGCTCGGGCCCCGCTGGCCTCAGTGACCTTGACTGTGCAGCTCCTTCTGCCTGGACTGGCCCCCTTCTCCCATTTTCTCTTTCCCCTCGTGGGGCCCCCATCTGTCTGGCGAACTCCTATGACACTTTCCTTGCGGTCCCCTGCCCCCAAGACAGGGCTGAGGACGCTCTCCTGCCTCTCTATAGTGCATGGCCCCTCATCTCATCATCCCACCGCCTTGTGACTTGGAGGGGAGGCATGCCTGCCTTCCTCGTAGAGTGTGTCCCCCGTGGTCAGGATCCAGACGCGGCGTGTGCATAGTGGCACGCAATGCACGTTGGCCTAAGTGTGCTGCATTTGTGGAAAGGGTGGGTAGGATGCAGTGTTTTCTATAGGATTAAGGGATAAATAAATGGTGAGAAGTGAATGTAGAATATTCTTCCATAGAATTCAGGATAAGAAAAGGCAATAGCGGGTTAGGAAGTTAAGGGAAAGTTGTTTCTGTTTGTTTGTTTTAATGGAGACCAAGTCTTGTTCATAAGCAGAAGAAAAAGCACGTCCAGAGAGTGAGAGGAAATGTAAGCGAGGAAAGGGGCTGTGGAGGGGTCAGGCGCTGAGGACCCGGGTAAGAAAGGGACCACGGGCACCGTGAAGAGCTGGTCTTGGCCGGAGGAGGGGCCTTGCTCTCCAGAGAGACAGGTCGAAAGCAGACGAGGAGGGCGACTGCGCAGAGGCATTCTGAGAAGGCGAGCAGAGAGGCGGGCGAGCTCCCTCCGCAGGGCCCGGGCTCCGCGGGGAGAGGCGAGCTGGCACGCCGGTGGCGGCCGGGTGAGGCACCCAACACCGTGACGTTTTTCACACGTAAGCCACAAGATGTTCAGAGAAAACGGAAATTCTCAAAAAGTACTTTAACAAGCAGTGGGCTCTCAGACCATATGCTATTTACAAAGCAGGTTCCCATGGATGGAATGCTTAACCCGCGGTGCCCCCGCCGAGCGTGCGCTCTGGCAGGCCTGCCTCCGACACTCCTCTTTCCCCTCCGCCGGGACAGCCATCTGCCCCTGCCTGATCAGAAGCTGGGACAGAGCCCAGCGCGCCATACCATACTTTGCTGAGCTCCTTCAACCTGTTTCCATCAGGTGGCCAAAGCCACCATTCACATTCAAAATGTACTTTCTGAACCAAGCCACACTTTAAACGGTTACAAATAATTTCCTCCTCAAACCCCTGGAGGGTCACTGGAGTCTGGGTGAGTCCCGGACTCCTAGGGCCAGAGCGGGAGGAGTGGGTTTGCCCACAGCATGCCCAGCCAGGGCCCGCCCTCCCCAGCGGCTCCGTGGAGTCCCGAGCCCGCCCAGCCAGTGCAAGTGCGACGTTTCTGCACAGGCTCAGCTTCTCCTGAAGGCTGCAAGAGCAGCTACTGCGCGAACATTCCAGAAGGAAGCTTAAATTCAGGAACACTTCTTAATGCCCACCCATGTCAAGAAGGGCAAACCATGTTTTAGGAGTTTCAAGGTTTAATTCTGGTTTGGTTGGGGGAAAACAGGAAGAGAAGACAACTCATTTTTTTTTCTTAATTTGTTTGTAAGAATACATTTACTTCAACATTGAACCACTTGTTTATGTTAACATTGAACCACTTTGGTTGTTTTTGTTTTTTTTCTCTTTTTCCCTTCCTGTTCTGTTTTTACCTTTTCTGTTAATAAAAACTTACAGAAGGATATTAAATTGGAAGGCTATACTTATTTTTCTTGATAAGTGTATTTTTCTTCCTTGGGAATGAATCCACTCATGAGAGTTACAGAGGGAACTTAAACATTCATGAAATGACACATTTATATTTCTGACTTTATATTGTTTTTGACCAAAGTCATATATTAACAACATTAATATAGAATTAAATGACTGAATCACAGTTGCTCAATAAAGGCTCAATAAAGGCCTGGAACTGAAAGCCATCAGAGGGTGTGGGGCACAGAGAGAAGCTTTCCATAGGCGACCACAGTGCCCCACCCTTCCCCGGCTTGCCTTTCTTGGACAATGACTGGTCATGGAGACGCATCTACACACAAACCATAGGCCTGTATAGATGAAAGGACTGCATAATACACACAAGCCCAGCTGTGGGCTGCAAAAAACCACGGGAAAGGTAGTACCGTGCTTGGAAACCTGTCTGCAGGCCAGAGCAGCCGTGAAGCTGGGAGCTCAGCTCCCCAAATATCACATTTATCTCAATTTGGCAAGAAGCTGAAAACCTATCTGGGACCATTTAAATTCTAATGTTATTAAGGGCTCATCTAATCAGCTTTTAAAATAAGCTGCTCGCAGATGCACGGGGAATGAAGGTGAGAGAGAAGCGGCCGGCCTGCGAACGGCCTCGGTTCGCGTTGCCAGAGAGCCGCGAGGGGGCCTGGCTGCCTTCCTGTTTGGTGCCGTCTGCCCTTCCCACCGGCCATGCTAGGGAGAAGGGATCTGTGCGTGCAGGAGAGGGCTAATCTGGACAGCCCACTCTCCTGTGAGGTCTATGGGACCCTCGTGACAGGCTTGGCAGGGAAAGTGGACTGGCCTCTGTGCTAGCAGGTGCCTTGAGATTAATCAGCAGAGCGCCTGGTGCTTCCGCACGCTACCTCTGACTCCATCGCACACTTCTGGGAAGTTCCACCGGCAGGACTCACCAGCCCTGCCCGGACCCACTGGCAGTTGTTAGCTGCCTTCACGGTAGGCCCCTCACATCTGCCTTTGGTTTGACTGTCCCAGACCCCCGCCAGCCCTAGACCGATGGGGAGCTGGCCCTGGCGTGCATGTTGCTCCGGTGTGATCGGGCTCACCCCAAGGCCCTGCTTTAAACACCAAGCTCATCTTGCTGGTCATGAACACTCAGCCTGAGGATTGATTCCCAAACGTAGGGCTGGGGCTGGGTCCCAGTTGCTGGGGTGAGGCTGGCTCCAGATGAGATGGTGACATTTGTCCTCCGCAGTCTTCCTCTCCCCCTGCCTGCCCCTGCACACCACTCTCAGCTCCCCCCACGGGGTCTCATCCAGGCTGGCAGTGTCCTGGGCTCTCTCTAGCATCCTTGCAACCCCTTCACCAAAAGCCTCCGACATCAGGGCTGGATGAAAATATGTGGGTGCCCTTATCACGCTAACAGGTTGCCTCACGTTCCAACCAATATTCTTTAAATATTTATTGCACATCTATTTAGAGGAAGGTGACAGCACCCCAGTTCTCATACTGCCATTGTACCCTTACTCAGAAGTCAGCTTACAGACCACACATTTTTATTTGAGCAAGTTGTCTGGGTAGGGAGTTTAATCCCCCATTGCAAGCGGGTTGTCAAATATTCTTTTATCTCTACAAGTACTGGGCAGAGTGCTGGGAAGCAAAAATGTCTCCATCTTAATACACTCCCAGTGATGCTTTTGTGATAGGTACCTCTAGTCACTGGTCCACCTGTCCCAGCTCTGCTGGCTTGCAGAGACCTTGATCTGCGGCAGCTGGTGGCCTAGAAGTGATAAATTAACCAATTCGCCCTTGAGAGCGGATGGCTGACAGCCAGCTTCACTCGAGGATGTCTCCTGTGACTTTGTAAATGGCATGGGGTGCTGGGTAGTCCAGAGTCCGGAAGTGAGGCAGGATGCTGCTGAGGGCACTCTGGGCTGGTTCAGGTGTGGGGCTTCTGAAAAGCCTCATTTACGTCTACAAAGCACCATGGTGGATGCTGAGTACGTGACACATCTGAGGAGGGAATCAGTGTCTCCCGAACGAACTTTAGTGATTGTATAAACAAACAGAGAGGGAAGGCTGGTGCTTATATTATCACTGTTTTGTACAGTAAAAAGGCCACACCTGCTTGAAAAGTTCCCAATTCAGTATCTCAAGTTTGAGTACCCTGGAACGTTATTAAGGAGCCGAATATTCGCTGCGCCTGCCAGCTCTGTGAGTCTCACCAGCCTTCTCCTGCGGACCATTTGTTAGAGCTTATTATTTCAACCTGAAAATTCTTCAGACATATATATGTGGTATGAAAAAGGAATTAGGAAAGCCTTTAAATTAAAAGAAATAAAACGACAGGTTTTTCCTCCAGCCATATAGTTATGGATAGAGATAAAGAGATGGATATTTTTTCATAATACTTTATTAGGGGTTTGGAACTCCAGAAATTTTAGAGGGAGACTGGTGAATAATTCAGCACTGGCTCACGCGGGCCCAGCGCCGGCGCGGGTGGGCTGGGACTCAAGTCCAGCTTCTTGGAGGGACTGAGCACAGTAGCACGCTTTTATTACCAACCAGACCATGAAATGCATTTCTGAAATATTTTATGAGGAGCCAGAACTGCGGTTGCTGGTTTCTGCAGCTTTTTCAGAGGCTGCCTGAAGCCCAGGGGAGCTGAGGTGCTGGCCAGCTCATTCAAGGAGACTATCCCCAGGCCGCTGTTTCAGTGACAAAGGACCTAAAGTCCCTGAGAATACGCAGCTGCTAGCGAAAAGCCTCAAACTGCCCATTGGAATGATGGATGGATAAAAGGCTCACAGGGAACGGTACCTCTCGGGACGGTGTCTGTGATGTTCTCTCCTTACCGCACGCTCTTCAATCCTAACTCCCAAAGAGATCCGGCCTTTATGCAGCTGGAACGACACGGCCACCTGAAACAGAAATAAGGAGGGAGGAAACACGTTAATGCTTTCAACATAAGGAACCTCAGTTTCCCTTTCCACTCCACACGCCATATCTCCTTTAAAACAAATTTGTAAGTACAGCATGTATATTTCTAAAGCAAAAAAAAAATGTTACTTAAGTAATTTTTCCCCTCCAGAAAGTTTTGTTGCATTAATTTTCTTTCATTCTCATAACTTTGCAGTAAAATGGTAAATATTTGAAGTAAAAACTCTACAGAATGATTATAAATCCAGAAATGTGTTTTATGTAACAAATCTAAGATCTTCGAAAGTGGCTGCAGTAGCATACTTAGATGATCTGTTTATGCCAATGCTTGTCACCTCCTACTGGAAGCCTCCCATCCGAACCCCTCCCATCCAAACTGAGCCCCTCTTGTGCCTTTAAAGTCCCGGCACTCTGAGCACTCCTATATCATGAAAGTCACCATTTACTATACATCTCTTTTTTGTGCTGTTTTCTTTCCATACTCTCCATTCCTCAAGGCCAGAGTCTGTTCCATGCACTGCTCTAGCTCTGCAAGCATGATGCCAGCACAGAAAAGTCCAACAAATAATGAATGCGCGCATGCCAAACGAGTAATTCTCTCAGATTAGAACTATCACCAATAGAAGCAGTGACATCTACTCCAAGTGAGAAGCTTGTGAGCAGGCAAATTTTTCCGCTTCTTTAATCAGGGGTCCTATGCAGAACTTGGCCCAAGCCTTCCCTACACAATTCCCGAGGATCTGTCAGCCCAGTTGTAGCTGGATAATTCTGCCTTCAAGGGCTTGCTTCTCACAATGCCTGCTATGCCTCCTCCAACTGGGACACTGCGCTCAGAGATCTCATTTATAGGTGCCTCAAAAGAGTGTATTTGCAAAGATGTGGTGACATCGAGAGAGGAAAAAGCAAGCATTTGGGTAAGGTGTGGGCTTGCCTGAATAAATTAACCTCCCTGGAGGACCTCATGAAATCTCAGAACTGGAGGGAGTGTAAAGATCATTTAGTTCTGGAAGGGCAGCTAGCTTCCATCTCTGGTGGGTGCGCCAGTGTATCAGTAGTGGCTGCCTGCAGGGTGGGGTCCTGACGGATTCTGAGGCTGCCCTGTTGGGAAGGGAGTGGCCACCCAGTGGCAGGACATGGAGCTGGCCAACGCGGAGGTGTTGCAGGAGACATAAACGCCAGGTGTTCTCCTCTTCCAATTCTGATCTGGCTGCTCACCAAACGGGAGCATCACGGGTCCTCTGGACAGTGCGACTGGAGTGGCAGCTGCCCACAGTTTGCAGCCTTCTTTGGGGGCAGACAGCTCTGGCATTAGAAAATCTTTCTGTCCCAGAAATAAAACCCCTTCTCTTGTTTGCTTCCATCCACTGACCTTTCTTTTTTTTCATTCTATCTGTAAGGTGCTGACCACACTCTCAGAAGGCTGGTCCCATCTCTTTCAAACCAACTAAGTCAAAAGTTATCAAAGTGTTGTCGAAATCTCCTTCACTTTAGTTCATTAAATACTGAATATCCTTAAGTTGCTATTTTATTGCATCTGCTTCTCCAGCTAGATATAGGCACAGTCATGCTCTCATTCAACTCACTTATGTTTATTATAAAGTTTTTCATTTGATATTTTTGAAATCATAAAAGTAACTCATGCTGATTGTAATAAGAGAATCAGTATGAAAATGGATACAGAAAAAGCTAATCATTTCCCCCAATCTCAGTCCCTTAGGTTACATTGTAATAGACTAGTAGGTGTCCTTTCACACCCTTTCTGTCCTAACATCCCAGGGAACAGCTGGAGACAGGTGCACACAGGTTCTAGCACCTGTGGGGGGCGCAGGAGCAGCGTCGGCCAGAGGGGGCTCTGGAGCTGGAGTCTTTGGGTGGGGGCTGCCCCCGGGGAGAAGGGGGCACTGAAGCTCTCTCTGGCAGAGGGTGACTCGTGAAAAGGGACTCAGCTGTGAGCTGTGGGCTGTGAGCTGTGAGCTGTGAGCTGTGAGCAGCCCACACTCCCGGCAGCTGTGGAACTGAGTGCCCCTGTCGGTTGGTGTCTCCAGCACCCAAATATACACCCTCCCTTCTGCTCATGTAAACCTAATTATACGTATACGTAAAAAATATAGCAGATATACCAGATGTTTTTGTTTATAGTTTTTAACTGAAATACTCGGCAACTTGCTTTGACTTAACAAACATCATCACTTTCTCTTAATTTGTTTATGTATAATGCACACACTTTTACAGGAAGATCATATTACACATCTAGGCTTTGATGGTGCATGCTGCTCATTCTTTTCTCCACTGCTTGTCCCTCTCCAGCTCCGCCCCTTCCCTGCACCACCGTGTTGCCTTCAGCCCCTGGCAGCATGGAGCATATCCTTCTATATTCCCCTTCACACTCATCTAAACGCACACATACGTGCGCACACGTGGATGCGTGCACTCGCTTACTCTTTCGGTCATTGGCAGCAACCGTTACTGAGAGCCTTGTGAGCACCAGACCCATCGCGGCACTGGGGGTGTGAAGAGGACACAGCCCCTGCCCTGAAGGGGCCTCTGTCCCCGAGGGCAGGGACAGGGGCTGGCGTGTGGGCAGTCCACGTTTGGAGGCATGCACCAAGCACATGGAGAGTTATTTACTGGGTTAGGACATGGGACTTCTGTATTCTAGTCCTGTGCTCTTTTCCATTTAACCAGTTTTTATTTTTTTAAACAGGTTTCAAACTGTGGGCTGAGCAACGGCTAAGTTGAGCTGAAGTGAGTGTGTGCAGATCTTCCCAAAGTCAGGACCGCACTTGCTCTGACAGGATGAAGTTCATCGTGAACCCAGTATACGAGGCCTTGTGATGTGACACGCATTACCTCACTAATAGATTCACTTAATTTGATTAACAAGCCAGACAGCCCTCATGATATCACACAAAGGCCTTATCTTAAGGTAGATTTTCCTATAACTGGTGACAAGACAAAGGATTATTATGACAGCAATTGAAGCCGGTGTGTCACAATGTAGGCAAGCATTCCTGCGGCAGAGAGTTCTAGAAGCAAAACCATTATCTGAGATGAATATCAGGCACGGCTGGTGCTCCCAAATCCTCCAGACTTCCAGAGAGGGGCGGGGAGGGAGCGAGGAGGTGGCACCAGGAGACGCGGCGACAGTGAGGAGCATGCCGACCTGCGTCTCCAGCCACGCCAGCACATGTGTTCTTTCTGTCCGCGTTCTGAGCCTGCTTATTTCCTTGCACGCCCCCGCTCCGGCACCCAGCGTTCTCAGGGCCAACTTGTAATAGCTCATCTTTGAAAAAACTTCGTATAAAATATGTCCAGAAGAGGTGCATTATATTTTCCTTCCTCATCAAATGCTGCCCCCTCTGCATGGAAGGCGAGTTCAGCAACTCGAGGGGCCATGTTTGTGCTTTGCAGCGTGGTCTCCCCCCATGACTGCCCAGGCAGGAGCTGAGGGTCTGGGCAGTCCAGACAGAGCAGCCCAGGAGACCTTGTTGACCTCGGTCACAGATTTTCTCGAAAGCTCTGTGTTTTCCCCCTTTTGGCTTAGGTGAATCGTGGGCAGAAGGCAGGCACCTGCCAGGCCAGGTGAGACACAGCAATCGGAAACTGCAGAGGTTTCAGCCTTCACAGAACCAGCGCACTTTGGTATTCAGTGTAAACCTCGGCACTTGAAAGGCTTTGGCTGGCGCACTGCGAATTGCTGGAGATGTTCCGGTAATAGCTATTTGATCCCCGGGATGCGGATCAGCTCTAGGCAAAACGACCCAACACCCCAAAGTACGGGCAATTCATTTTTTTCTCAATTCTCACAGCAGTTGGATGCTAAACAATAGATCAGATTTCAAATGGCCAACAAATTGTACTTGGTCATTTTAGCGTGAAAATGGGAAACTTAGGCAACTATTGGGGATCTGACCCATATTCCGCTCACAAGGTCTCCTACCAGGAGGGAACTTGAATGACTGTTGTTTGGGGCTCCTACTTTCAGGAATACAAATTTGGATGTTTCTTAGATTTCTCTGGCCCACTGGTATTGGCAAGATTTTGCACTTCAGCAGAGTGATAAAAGTTCATGAATTCTCAATTTATCTGTTGATACATAACATATTTCCCTAAAACTCAGTGATCCAAAGCAATAAACATTATCTCATAGTATCCATGGGTCAGGGATTTGGGAATGGTTTATCTAGGTGGTTCCAGTTCAGGGTCTCTCATGAGGTTTCAGTCAAGGTGTTGAAGGCTGCAGTCATCTGAAGACCCACTAAGAGTAAAGGGTCTGTTTCCAAGATGGCTCGTTCATGGGATGCTGGTCACTGCAGGAACTTCAACTTCTCCCCACACGGGCCTCTCTCCAGGGCTGCCGCTTGAGTGTCCTCACACATGGTGGTGGCTTCTCCAGAGTGAACACTCCCGGAGAGAGCAAGGTGCAAGCCACATGTCTTGTATGATTAACCACACTATCTTCTCTGCAATATTCTATCGGTTACACAGATTAGCCTTATTTAATGTGGGAGGAAGCCATGCAAAGTTATGACTGCTAGAAAGCTAGGATCAATTGGGGGTCGACTTGAAGGCTAGCTGTCACAAATGCCTTTTTGCTTTATTAGTAATGGTAAACACAAAGAAGAAGACATTTCCATTTCTTGTATCTCCCTGGAACAACAAATGGAAATCATGAAATTTGTCTCAAATACTAACCTAGCCACACACTTTTGGAAAAGACGTTTACTTAATCCCTCTAAGCACTCATTTTTGAATCTGTAAAATGGAGAGAATAATATCTCTTTATGACTGCTATGAGGATTTACTTAGTTAATATATGTAAAATGCTTAGCTCAGAGTGCAGCAGCAATAGGAACTCAAACCTTGTTAGTTCCTTTCCCTTCTCCCTCATTCTTTCTTCTCTGCTTAAATGGCCCCTACTTGGAGTTGGCCTTCCTCCCGGCTCACCCGCCCCCACCACCTGGTTTGTAAACCACGGGAGGGGCTCAGCCTTGGCTATTAAGGTTTCTCTTTCCCTAAGGAAGATTTGCTGAGGCTTAATAAAGTCGGGATGTGTGAGAGACACTGCAGTTCTTTCATATCTTAATTAGCAATTAATTAAGAGGAGGTGCTGGTGTCTGGAATATCTGACAGACAGACTCCATAATTATCTTTTATTATTACTACTAATGGAAAAGATGGTCAGGGGGGTTCAAGTTTTCCCAGAATCTCAGGATTAATTGAATGACCCAGCAGAGAATCAAAATGAACAAGCTGCCCTTTCCACGTTGTTTTATTAAAAATATTTTGAAATTGGGTGGTGCCTTGCACTCGGGAGCCCTGCTGGCCTGTTATCTTAGGCTGCGATCTGTGACTGGGAGCAGAGGAAGCCAGGGTGCCACCTCGGGGTGGTGAGGTCCCTCCGGGAAAGCCAAGAGTCACGTTTTGATGACGATGCTGGCTGCATTTCATTAATGTCCCTCTCCCCCGCCCAGGGAAAGCCTTGGTTTGGAGGTCAGAAGTGAACGTTGCTGGAGAGGAGAAGGGAGGCACTTTGTTAATGTTGCCATAGTGATGTTGGTCTCAGTCCCTGGGAAGCCCTCTTCAGAAGGTGCCCCCGATCCCGACTCAAAGGTGGTGACTCAACACCCTCATGTTCACGCACGCTGTGGCCGGGAAGCCGGCCGTGCTCGGAGGCCCACTGGGTGGGTTCTCTGGGGATCTGGGCAAAGCCAGCTGGGGCCCGGCCTCCTTTGTGTTCTGAACTCAGGCTCCGTGGACTCGCCACAGAAATGTAGCACTGATTAGACCAGGCATTCTAGGCTGTCATGTTCTAGAGTTCACCTGGGACAGGTGAACACACATCAAACTACCTTTTCACTCCAGGGGGAGCAGCGCAGTGTTACCACAGGGGGTTATCTGGGCAGAAGGGGGGTCTGTCTCTATCCGCACGTGTGTGTTTGTATAGATTATAACACTTCCTAGATTTAGTTCCTCCTCATTTCCGTGATTTCTAAATAGTTTACCTGGAGGCATCCTCATACTCAGCCCACGTGCTCTGGGGCTCTGACCTGGGTAGCTGGCGGGTCTGAGTGGAGGCAGGTGGCCGCCCTCATGGAGTGAGCAGTCCCCGTCGTACACAATTCACCATTCAGACTCGAGACGATCCGTCAGGCCTAACAGGAGATTTGAGGTCCATGGGACAGCTCACATGAGTGGGGCTGCAGGATTCTGGCCGGTCCTCTGGGCTGCGTGGCTCAGACTGGCCTGCCCCTGCGGAGGCCGTGCTGGAAGACCAGGGGCCCTTCCCGAAGCTGGGCTCCGTGCGGCCTAGGGCCTGTGTTCATGGTGCGTAGAGTTGGCTCTTCGCCAAGGCCCCTGATCATCAGCGTTTCCTGTGCCTCCAAGTCCCTCTGGGTGAAGAAACTACAATCTAATTCTCCTCTGTGGAGCAGATGTAGTGCATGAAAAGCAGATGAGCAATGAGTGCCACATCTCAGTGGCCAAACCACGTGTCAGAAGAGGCTCTCTCTGGATGATTTTTTAAAAAATTTCTGTTGTCTTTTTCTGCTTAATCCATATTTATTAACTTTTCTATAGTGTTTATGTTTTGCTTTAGTAATGAAGAAATACATGTTATTCAAACATTTAAGAAAGTTTAATTTAGAAAGCTTTATTTTATGAAGCTTTATCGCATTGCTTCTTGGCCTGGAGTTCACAGAGGGTCCCTGAGCTTAGATGGAAAAAAACTGCATCATTAATTTCACCTAATTTCAACCTCTAACAAAAATTTAGCAGTTCCTCTAATTTTGAATGTAGGCAACCAGTCACGGTAGTATTAGCAGTAGCTATAATTTTGTCACCAACAGAAATCACAGATTTTTTATATCTCATTACAGCTGTTGCAGATATATGGAAATATTGTTCAAGCTTATTACTAACTTCAAAATTCCAGAAGTTATCAGACCTGCCAGCAGAGCTTGTTATTTACTGTGTTAATAAACACATGTACTACCATAACACAAATTTGATTTTTTTAGTATTTTGATGGCAGTATTTCAATAAAAATGTAGTTTCCTCTGTAATCCTATGTATTTTATTTTACACATTTATACTATTATTCTGAGAAGGGATCCACCTGTTCCACCAGGCTGCCAAAGGAAACTGTGACATTAAAAGAGTCAGAATCCTCCCTAAGAGCCAAGGGGGAAATGCCGAGGTCATCCCCATTTTACAGTCAAAAAATCAAGACACAAAGAGGCTGAATGACTTGCGCAAGGTCACTGAGCTTCCACGTGGCCTAGCTGGGACAGAGCTCAGGCAAACAGGATCCAGATGGCTCCCCTGTCCTTCCCTGAGCCCCACAGAGGAGTCAATATTTAACGTAGCATATCATGTGTTTGCGTGAGGCCGAGTCATCCACTACGCCTGCAGGTTTGATGGGCTGTGTTTGACCTTCCCAGCTAGTGCACAGATACCTCAAGGGCAGGGTCTGGGCTGCTGGGTGTTGCTGAGCCCGCCGATGCCCCCAGGAAGTGGAGCTAAGGAATGTATTCTAAGCACCACGATGATCAGCAAATGCTACAGAATTGCAGGCATTGAGGGTGCCCCTCCCCGCCAACGCACGTGGCAGCCTCACCTTGAGAGTCATAAGTCATGCTGGCCATTCTCGCCGGGGAAGGCCTCCTTCCTGGCCAGGAAGCCTCCCAGCCCCACTCTGCTTCTTCCTGCCCAACTTCTGTCCCCAGCTCTTTGCCCACAACCTCTCTGCATCTGAGGAAGCAGAAAGTTCTGGTGGCCAGAGCCTGACAGAGACAAATGCTTCCTTGCTAGGAGGCCTCCGTGCACGGTCACTAAGTGACCACCAAACCTGGAACACCGCACTGGAGGGGCACCCCTGGGAGAGCACTTCTCGGGCCTAATTGCATTTGCTAGCCATCAATCACCAGGGTAATTTCCTGTCTTAAGACATGTGCTCTCTGCAGTGAAAGAAGCCAAAAATGAGGCCAGAAAGGGAAAGAGAAAGCTTCGGATCTAAGGTGAGCCCCGGTCCTCTCTTCACCTGATATACAGGCCCGCCTTGCCCGGCTGTGGGCAGAGGGGAATATTTCTTCTCTCCTTGCAACGGCTCTCATGGGGCAGGTAATTGCTTGCCTAGTGCTTGGCTGGCAAAGGTGTGACCGTCAGGACCAGAAGCTGAGTATATTTTTTCTGATGGCAGCTCTCAGGCCCTCCTCAAAGATAGCCAATTTCTCCTCAAAGGACCTGCCTGAGGGCACAACTTTATGGCTGGCCCAGGAATCCCTGTGTTCTCAGGACAAGTTCAAGTTTAATTTGCTCGATATCATCATCTCCCTTGGATCTGCAATTAAGAGGGCATCAGTTGCTGGAGTGATAAAAGATCATCTTCCCAGGCATTCGATGAAGGACTCTCCTGTGGGTTAGTTGGGCAGTGAGCCAAAGTCCTGCTGCTTCCCCGTCACCAAGATAGTGCAGAGAACACGGGGCCCTGAGCAGAAGGCACGGGGGCACCAGAGTCCCTCTCCCTGGTCAGGCACCTCTGTGGGCCAGGGCCTGCTCCTGGGATCTATGAACTCGTGGGGGAGGCTGGGAGCCAGGAGGGAGTGCCTGTCACATAGGAAGTGGATCCAGCTAAGGGCCAAGTGCAAATTCAGTGGGGACGTGATTGCTGTTTTGGAAGAGATAATTCTCTTTTGGGTGAAGACCCTCAAGGTCAAAGTGTAGAGCAGTAGAATATTTAAGAAATCTGAGCCAGGGCAAAATATGAGTGGCAAAGCCGGAGGTCAAGAGCTTGGTGTGCACAGGAGCAGCCCGGGAGGCGGAGCTCAGGCAGAGCAATGCGGAAGGGCCCAGTGGGTCATCACCAGGCTGGGGTGTCCAGAGCTGCTCTGCCTAGATGCTGGCGTTTTAGGAAATGGGAAGTGGACATACGGCTGCAGCAGAGAGAGTAGCCACCTGTGGTGTGACTACAAGGCCAGTGTCCCTTGGGCTACCATGGCTTGAGTAGAGTCTCAATCTTGGCAGGGCCTGTGTTCAAGTCAGCAAGTCCCCTGGGGGGAAAAACAGGTTGAAGATATTCCCCCTCCGGTCCATTTCCAAGTATGGAGGTAGAGGAGTCTAACCCAGTGTAGAGGAGTATATGGATTGTGGGCTAGCATGAAGTGGACCCTGGAAAATGAAAGTTTATTTTCTTTAATCAGCATCTGGGTCTTCAAAAATTAAAATCCTATTTATGGATTGACTTATTGGGCTCCGGTACGATCAGTCCCAGGTTTTATAGAGGGCACTCTTGCCATGTGGGGTGAGTCCACTCTTCATTGGATGAGATGTTGAGAGTATTGCAGGTTGACCTCCATCTCTGGCCTCGACATTGCCAGGCCCTCTGACAAGCGTTTTAACAACCAATCCCCCCACACATTTCCCAGCGTCCCCAAGGTCGGGGGAGGAAGCAGGCGCCATGGGCTCTGGCTAGTCCGGCTTCCTGCTTGGCTGACGGAAGCCCCTGATCCCCCAGAGGTCGTCTACGCTCGAGGACCTGACGCCTCCTCGAACACCAGGGTTTCAGCCTCGTCAGCGCCAGCCTGCACGGACGCGGTGCCGCTTCCCGGGAGGCCCTCCTCGCGGGCGAGCCGCTGCGCTCTCGGCGTTTCCGCCTCTCACGTCCGTGCTAGAGCGGACGCTGTGAGACGCGGACGCGCGCACAGTGGCTCTTCCGCCCTGGCCTGCTGCGCCAGCGGGGCCTGCTGACCGGCAGCGGCCTGAGGGGACGGGAGTCGCGCTCCGGCGGAATCCCGCCGCCGATAAAGCGCGCGCTGTCGGCTCCCCTCCCCAGGGAAAGAAAGGACAAAACACTTTACTGATCACTTGCTGTCTGTGAGAACTAACCACTGGAGATACAGAGATAGGTAAGAAGCGGTCGCCGCTCGTGAGAAGGACGCTGGCAGCCCAGGACGCACCCGCCGCGCACGCGCAGACACGTGGCCGCGCACGCGCAGACACGTGGCCGCGCACGCGCAGACACGTGGCCGCGCACGCGCAGACACGTGGCCGCGCACGCGCAGACACGTGGCCGCGCGGCCTCTGCTCCAGGCTCTCGCGGACGCGCGCAAGCCGGGCAGCTACCCACGCGTTGAGTCCGCCGCGGCTCCCAGGGGAGAGAAATGGGATGCAGACAGAAGTACCGAGCTCAGGAAGGGGGAATGGATCTCAGGCAGAGATCCCCTCGCGCTGAGACCGTCGCTCCTGAGTCTTCGCTTGGGATTCCCTCCCTCAGGGTGAGGCTGAGGGAAACGCAGGCCGTCTCGAGCCCCTCTGGGAACATGCCGGAACGAGAAGGAGTGTTGCTAGGCAGGCCATTGCTTATGCAGCGTGCTAGGAAAGCCTTCGCCTCCCAGTCTCTGTTTCCCAAACACACGTGTGTCGTTAGAGTCTTGCCTGATGCTGCCGTTCGCCTCTCACAGAGATCTCTGCATTTCAGACCACATGGCGAGTCCCTGACACCGCAGACGGACTAGCCCCACCAGTCTGGTCTGGGGCCCCAAGAGAGGGGCACTTGCCGACTGCAAGGAGGACGGCGAAAGGACGAGGGAGCATGGTAAGGCCGCCAAAAACAGAGATAAGGAAGACAAATCCCCTCACACTTGCTGTGTAGCGAAAGAGGCGCCGGCCGAAAACCGGCTCAGATGCAGCGTGGGGCGGGAGTCAGCGCGTGCTGGGGCTTTGGCCTTTTCCTCTGCAGTCAGGCCGCGTCATCGCCACGGCGATCCCCATCAGCCAGCCCTGCCTCTGAGCACCTGTCAAGAGCCACCTGCGAAGGCTCCACGTGACGCCGACTCGGAAGCCGCGGGCCTCCCACGCCGCTGCAGGAGGGGTCTCGCACGCCCGCCGCCCGCAGCCGCCAGGCGCCCCTCCCGGGCCCACTGGCCACAGCCCGCCGGCCCGCAGTCCTCCAGCCGCAGGCGTGGACTCAAACACTCGGATGGCAGTGCCGGACTCCCGGGAGGGCCAGATCTCAGAGCCTGGGGGTGGTGAGCAGAAAAGAACGGTTTTCGGTTTCCGACTGTTGGTCAGGATCACTGTTAGAACTGCGCAAAGCGGGTCCCCGTTGACGCAAGACAGCTGCCGGCTCAGAAAGGGGCCTCTTAGCCCTCTCGCCGTGCCAGGCCAGTCCCACCTGTGCATAGCCCGGGCCAGGGCGAGAGGGTTTGATCTCCTTGGGAGCAAACAGGCACCCAGCCCAGGGCTGAAAAAGGCCTGCCAGACAGTGTATCCCGCACGTTCTTCCTCTACTGCGTCTGCTCGCCCAGCATTCACTCTAAATCTGCCCGCTTCTCCTCATGCCCAGAGCTACTCACTGCTCTCACACCCTATTAGCTCTAGCCTGTTTCACCACCTCTACCTCCCCCTCTTCCTCCTCCTCACTGGGCTCCCTGCTCCACTGTCAGCCCACCTCCAGTCCATTCTCCACGCTGCTCCCAGAAAGATTGCTCTAACGCAGATCTGCTCAAGGTTTCAGGTGTGCCCAAGGTCTTTTACGGTCCAGCCCCACGTACCTCCCCCACCTCCTCTCTCCACGCCCTCTCTCCCTGCCTCCGCTCTGCACTCTAAGCACACATGGCTACTCACATATTCCCAATCCCCATGCTCTCTCTCCCTCTGGGCCATCCTCCAGCATTCACCTCCTCCAGGAAGACTGCCTGACATTCCAAGGATGGGTCGGGTGTAATCCCTCTACCTCCCCTCCTTATGCCATGAACTCTCATAAAAACCTTTTCCAAGTTGTGTTGCAATTGCCATATATAAATCAGCATATCCTCGGGGGAAGGGGAAATGCATTTGTATAGGCAACAGGTTTCTTAGGCCAAACTAAGGTGACTGCCACAGTGTTTTTTCCTGGCCCAGCCCCTCCCTAGCTGGCCTTCCCTGGAGTCATGGGTCAGCACGCTCCTGTAACCAAGGTGTTATCTCTTGTGTGAACCCATGTGATCGCGCTTTCCCATGGCGTGTTGCTGCTATTGTTCAGAGCCATAGATAAGTGCCCGCCATGTTCTCGGCCATGATTTTCGCTGCTGCTGTACTCTCCCTGACAATAAAGAGCATGTCACCTGCCCACTGCCACTCGCCTTTTCGTCCAATTTCTGAAGCCTGCGCCGGAGCACACGCTAGCCACAGAGCTCCCTGATCACACTCGGCACCTGGCTCGGGGCCTGGCCCACAGAAGAGGCCAGTAAGTATCCAACCAAAGCAGGAATGCTCGGGGCTCCTGATGGCAGCTCCCTGCCCTGTGGCTTGGAGAACTCAATTCACTCGGTCAAGGGAAAGTGCTCACATTACATGCTGCTGTATGCTGGTAAAACCATGTGCAGAGGCAAAACAAACAAACGATTAAGTAATGGCAGGCAAGTATTTCAATAAGAGTCCTATCCAAATAAAATAACAGGAAAAGTGCCTTTCAGTACTGATTAACCGCAGCTGAGAATTAAAGATCATTTGTAACAAATCATTACAGTCAACTGATTAAAAATGAATGAGTTTGTACAGAGAACCATTATTGAATCTGGGGCTGAAAACAAAAGACAGGTAAAGCACATTAGCATGAGACTCCCAGCCTGTGCGTGTGTTGCCGCACGAGGCTCGTTTGCGTACGCCAAATGGGGAGAAAGAGCCAGAATTTGAGTCCCAGTTCTGCTTGGGGCCCAAACCTCATGCCTGGCTCTGTGAAACTGGAGAGGTCTAAGCTCCTGTATTTGTCACTGAGAAAATGGGGTCAGTAACACCACCAGTGTTAGATGGAACTATGTGAAGTTACCGACATCTGACCACATTTGAGCTACAGAAATGGCAAGTTCGTATGGTTCAACCTTAAATTTACCAAACAAGGCTGTTGTGGGGATCAGGGTGAGACATGGCTACAAACCCAAAGATGCCCCACAAACGCATCTACAAAAGCCATGCCAGAAACACATCTGTCACTAAGGTAACACTGTGACAACCGGCAGCCGTTTGGTGCTCAGCTTGACAAGCCACTATGTTTGGGGCAAACCCCAGGAAATTCTTCATTTGTATTAATTGTTAGCTTGAAGAAAGGGGAAAGAGAAAGACCAAAAAGAAATAAAAGAATTCCACCAACCCCAATCCAGACCCTCCCTCTCTCAGCCTGGACTCTCTGAAGGGACACTATGTCCTGCTGTGCTGGTGTTTTATTTGTAAGCATAAGCTTTCTTTTTACTGTAAATTCACAGTGGGTTCAGAAGCATGGGCTCTACCTGGTTGGATGCACATAGCCCATCTCCAGCTCCTGGGTCCAGTCCCCATATCTGATCTCTCTCCTGCCCCTGCTATCAGGAACCTAATCGGAGTGGCTGGCATAACAGGAGTTCTCAACAAATGTTTAGTTGAATAAATGAACAAATGAATGCGCTCTGAGCCCTGCTCATTCTGTTGCCTGTTCTTTTGCCACCTGACAGAGCCCCCAAAAGATAAAGGCAGTCTATATCCATACCTCCAAGTCATGAAATTAACATAATCGCTCTACATCTCCTGATTAGATGCAAACATTGACAAGCAATTTCTTCATAATTACAAAATGCTTGTGATGAGACAGCTTATTCTTAATCAAACAACTTCTGTAATACATGGCATTGGTCCAAATCCTTTATTTATTAAATAATTATATATTAATTATACATACACATAATTTTTTAAACTCTCTTTTTCCAACTGACTTATTCCACCAAATTCTTGTTTCTTTCCAATGCTTTTGCCCTCATGCAGGCAAGAATGAACTCTCTCTTCACCCTTGTTAATTCATTGTCCTGAAGTATAGATGTGTTCCTGGTTTGACCCTGCGCAGGGAGCTGCTGCCTGGGACTGGCCGGCAGAGCTCAGGGCCAGCTTCGCAGGCATAAGAACCATGCAGTCGCATGGGGTCCTATGCTCAGAAGGGCCCCTGCTTGGTTTATTGCTTTGCTGTTGCCGTTTAGAAATTCCTAATAATGTTTGAACAAGGGGCTCCACATTCTCATTTTGCACTGTGCCCTGCAAAACTAGTAGCCAGTCCTGGCAGAGATGGAGAGGAAAGAAAGCAGTGAGAAAAACCAAAATGAAGACACAGTGATGGCACGATCCAGGCTTAGGGACGCCAGGGGAGAGCGGAAAGGAGAGCCTGAGCTGGCTGGGGGTCGCCCAGGAGAGCAGGGGCAGAGAGCACAGTTGCAGAGAAGCAGTTGCAGCCGGAGAGACAGGTTCTAGAAAAGCCAGGTGTGCTAGGAGGTCCTCGAGGCCGCAGCTGTCAGGTTCAGGCTACTGGGGCCTCAGAGAGAGTACTTTTAATATGCGAGCAAGAAGTTAGTCCTCCAGTGTAGGAAAGAGACCATGTTTCCTGGAACCAGACAGGAAAACTGATAACTAGAAAAATCTGACCATTGTGTAATGTGACACAAGCTGGATTATGTCATTCATTTGTTTATTCCTTTCCTCAATAAACATTTATTGAGTATTTGATGTATATGTACTGTATTGGTTCCTGGACAATTTCAAAGATGATAGTGAGTCCATCCCTGCTCTGAGGAACTCACAGTCTATATAGGAAGAGAAAGACGTGAATGATAATGCAACGTGGTTAGCGTTACAACAAAAGTCAGTGCTACCCATTGTGGAGCAGGGGTGAGGGGTATGGGCAGGTTGGGGAAGGGTTTATGAAAGGTGCCAAGGCTAGATCTTGAAGGATCAGAAGGAGTTTAACTAGTAAAGAAACTGAGAAGAGCATCTGGGCAGAGGGAACAGCGTGAATAAGTAAGGAAGGAGAAAGAAACACCACGGGGCATGTTTGGTACTCATGAGGTGGCCAGTCCAGCCGGAGCAGGGGAAACAGACAGCGAGCAGCAGGGAAGGGGCACAAAGACAAGTAGGACCCTGATTGTGAAGAACCCCGGATGCCAACACAGAGCCTAGATTCTACGTCAGGCAAACAGAAGAGCCTTTGAAGTTCCTGAGCAGAGAAGAGGCAAGATCGCATTTGGGGGGCTGTGGGGAAATGCCATAGCTGCAATGCAGGGGACTCTCGGGCACAGTGACTGGACCAAGCTGGCCAGGGAGAGAATAACTCATTACTAAAAGTCAGGCGAGGGATACTGAAAGCCCAAAAGCAGACAACAGCAGAGTAAGGAAGGAGCAAGGAAGAGAGTGGAGATTTGGGTTAGAGGTGGAAGGAACTGTAATTGACTCATCAGATGGGATGAAGTGGGGGAATAATGGAGCCTTCTCGAATTTCTGCCTTAGACATTTGGGTTAAGGGCATTGTCACTAACTGTGAAGAAGAGAAAGGGAATAGAAAGATAAGAAAATGAGTTGAATTTTGGACATGTTAAGTTCAAGGAACCTGCTAAACGTGTTCAGCTGGGGTCTGCGCCGGAGATTTGAAAGCCGTAAGCACCATCGGTACTTACTGAAGTTAAGGGAATGGGTAGGATTACCCATAGGGCCTGTGTAAAGCAAGAAGCCCTGGAGAGCACCAACACTAGGGAGAGGGTGGAACACGATGATCTAGTGAAAGAAGCTAAGCAGGAGCTACTGGAAAGGTAGAGGAGAGCCAATGTGGGATTATTTTTCCCTGTCATTTGCTGTCTTTCTTGGAAGATCGTCATATGCACCTGCTCATTGCAAGTGGGACGAGTTTAACTCTTTGATCTCTTGATGTCAGGCTCAGGGCACGTGACCTGCTTTGGCCAAGGGAATATGAGCAGAGTTGATACACACTATATCCAAGCAGAAGTTCCAGGAGCTGCTGCGTGACTCTGCCTTAGCCCTGTCCCTCTGCCGTAAGATCGTCCGTTCATCCTGCATCCCCAAATGAAGAAGATACGTAAAGCCGGGCAGTATCTAACCCTCAGCTGATGTGGAATTTGAGCATCAAGAAAAATCTTTATTGTTGTAAGCCACTGAGATTTGGGGATTATTGGCTGAGTGTTCCAAATGCTGACTGTTACAACCCAAAAAGAATCATGCCTCAGAAATGAAGGAAACATTTTGAGAGTGAGCGGTTAGTACGGTCAAAAG